CTTCTGGACTTCAACCGGCTTCTTCGCATCTACAGGCCTTTCAACCTTCACTGCTTTCTCGGGCAAGGGCGCGCGAATCTCTGCCGCTTGCGAAGCCGGCTGCTGCACATCTACAGGCCTTTCAACCTTCCCTGCTTTCTCGGGCAAGGGCGCAGGAGTCTCTGCCGCTTGCGAAGCCGGCTGCTGCACATCTGCAGCCTTGGGCAAGGGCGCAGGAGTCTCTGCCGGTTGAGAAGCCGGCTGCTGCACATCTACAGGCCTTTCAACCTTCGCTGCTGGGCTTGGCGCAACCTCCGGCAAGGGCAGCTCGGCCGCTGCCGGTTCACAAGCTGCCTGATTCGCATCTGCAGGCGGGCTTACACCAACCTCCGCTGATAGAGAAGCCGTCTCCGAGGTAGCTGCGGGCCCTTTGACATCCACTGGACACGCAACCTCCGTTTTCTTCCACGGAATCGGGCGCCTGGGATAAGCTGCATCACCCACGCTCTTTCCCAGATCTCCTCACAGTTCACACGGTGGAAGAATGTGGAAGATAATTTACCAAACTCATCTATAATCTACGAAGGTACATCATATAATATGAGCTATCGTATATATTTATATACTGTATACAGCCATATACCGTATATTCCAAATGTTTGAAAACCCTTCTCTATAAAATGAATGCGCTTGACCACCCCTATTATCATAAAATGAAAACTAGATGTGGAGGGTGAAGGTCCTTCACGGCTTGAAGCATCAGCAATTCCTGACATCAAATCTGGTGATACTGTATCCCTTGAAACATTTTGAAACGCGTTCTCTATAAAATGATTGCGCTAGACCCCCTGTACAAAAATAGAATAAAAAATAAACAACAAATAATAGTAGATAGAGTAGTAGATAGATGTAGATAGATAGAATATGATAAAATCAGGATGAATGAGGCACAACCAGGCCTTCACCTGCGCACGCGTTTTCCCCAGGCGGCGCCTCAGGAAACTACACTGGAAACGAGATGCGCTCAAAGTGATGATAAGGGATGTAGCAGGCTGCAACGGCCAATGCCCGTTCAGAAAAGAATCCCCATACAAAATGTATTGCAAAAAATGTCAAAACGTTTCTAAGCGTATTCTGTGCCACGAGCTTTTGTTCTCATGTGACCCATGAAAACAGTCTGTCATCAACTGCCAACCGTTTAGGCAAGGCAGACACTTTGGACTCTGGAAACAATTGGAAACAGATCTACGATGATCTATGGATATCTATGAACATCTATGAACACATCAGCATCTTGGCGCAGTTCACAAACGATTGCATTCGTGTTCTCAGTCTCCTTGGCAGGCTGGAGATTGACAGGTGCAAAATCACATACAAAAATTCACCAAGACATGACAAATCTATCACCATGTAATCATTTGATCTCACATGATCTCACCAATGTCAGGTGAGAAGAATTCATATGAATTCTGTTCGAGAAGCCCTTCCAAGAACGCAGCAACGCCAAGCAAAAATGGCCGGTGTATGCAGCACTGCCGGCCAAGTGCTTGCCTCCCGACCACGATCCGTCTTGCTGGATGTAGTAGACCTGCCAGAGTCAAGAAGAAACAGTGAATTTTCACACGAGATGCAAAGTCAAGTATTGTAAAGGCTACAGGAAACCGATTTTAAAAAAGACATTAGCCTTCTTGACTTTGCGCTTCTGCTGTCTCTTCTCGAAGCGGGCCTCGAGCACAACATACCACAAAAAAATGCAAAACATATCAAATAATTCAACAATATTCAACATGATATTGTAATTGACATCACTTCAAACTTTCAGCACTGCAAGCGGTCCTTGATGCGTGCTCTGTCCTTTTTGGTCATCGTTCGACGAAGATTTTCTCCACTCCTGATGTCACAGCATCTTACTGGACATGTACACACACTTTTCAGCTCTTGTTCACAAACTTTTCCACATCAAATGTCCTCCAGTTCACAAGTAGATGGCTGCATTTCAAAAGGTCATGAGAGAACATGCCCATCCAGCTGGTCACCTTCGTCCTGACTGACGCGGCTCCAGAAATTCATACAAATTCCAAAAACATCCAAAAACGAAGGCAACGAAAGCACCCTGAGTTGACATGCCAAGGCACATCTGCCACTGCTTAATCAATTCCCTCATGCATGGCAGTTTGAACGCCCAACTGGAAGAGGGCTGCTCAATCATCACCTTGAGGTCGTTCCGGACCCTGGCCAACACAAACTGTTTCAACATCTGGCGCCTAAGAAACTCCAAAATCAAACACGGAAACACCATGGATTCAAGGCGAAAGCATCAAAAAGCATATGACATCTGACATCGTATGACAGAATTCTTCAAGTCAGCCTCCCAACAACCTTCAGGATGACGCAGAAGTTTTGCCAGATTCGATTAGCCAGCCGAACCTTGAAATTGGTAATGTTTCCCCAAGGGTTGCCCAAGCAGCGTTGGTGCACTGATTGGCATGCACCAACAAACAAGGAGCAAGGTGGCCCTGCAGCCACCATGGCCCCAGGTAGAAGCCTTGGTGCCACAGAAAAAGGCTCCAAAAATAAGATATGAAACGTAATATAACGTAATGAAACGTATGAAAGCCGCCCCAAACGTTACACAAGCACTAAACAAACATTAAAAAATATGCGTGTTCGTCAAAAGGCGAGAACATAAAAGTCAGAAGTGTCACCACCCCATCCCAAGTGGTCGCATCGCGCGCAGGGCAGAGTTGAATATCGTACGCCAAGGCCTTGTAATTTGCTCGTTCCCAGCACGACCTCAGCCAAGTATATATCTCCAACGTTATTCAACTGTTGGCAAGGCCTTCAAACTTTTCAACTGTTGTCAAATGATTTCAAACGTCTCAGCCCCTCAAATGCAAAGCCCAGAGACGCCACAGAACAGGAGAAACCAAAGCAATCAAGGCAATGATACTCCGGGGTCACTTAGATCCAAAATAATCACAAAACAGCCAAAAGTGGCAAGGACAGCGACACGAAAAACTCCTCGCATACTAATATGAATTCCTGTGAATCAGTCCAGCCCAGCCACTGTCTGATGCCAATTGATATGCAAATTGCAGCAGAAATTGGAAATGGCATTCTGCTTTGAACCACCTCGGTGCAATAAGAGATGGACCCTATAAAATGAGCATCCCAGACCCTGTAGCTGCACATATTTCAATTGGCTTTAGATCGCTCATTGTGTTGTTCCGTCATTGAATACGTAAGATCATGTAAGATCATTTTATCTGGTTGTTATGGGACAGGACTAGTCATTTTATAGAGATAGTTTTTGCATTATTATATTGCCATGTTAAATAGGATCCCTTGAATTCTGCCTTCCCTGTCCTACTCATAGCATCTTCTAGCATATTCTAGCATCTTCTAGCCAAGACTCCGCTTTTCTTCAACTCCGGTGGCGGTATCATCGACATGTTTCCCCATGGCTCTCTGTTCCACGTTAGATCACGGCGAACACGCGGGGCGGGGCCAGCAAGAAAGGTTTGTCTGCAAAAATATGCAAAAATCACGTTAAGTGTAGGAAAGATTCTGAAATCATCTGAAATTCATCGTGAGCACACTGCGAAAACGCACACAGAATCTATGCCACACATATTGTTGTTGAGGGCGTGGCTGGCGATTTCTTCGTCTCCGTCTTCTCTATCTTCACAGGACCCATGTCAGTCTTCCTGTCCTGGCGCTGCATCACGTGTCACATGTTTGGTGTTTCTCCACTTCCACAAAATCAGATTGAATTTGTACTGTAACATAGTCTAGCTAATTGAAATCCCCTCACTCATCACACAGTCCTTCAAGCGGCTAATCTCATTTGTCCACATCCAAGCTTCCCTTGAAATCGTATGCAATGCGATGAACATTGCATAACATTGCTAAGGAAAATATTAAAATTGTGCATCATTTCTCACAATGATTCAAAGGGCAAAATTCTGACCACATGCAACCACTGGCACAAATCTTTATCCCAGTAGGTGTAGTGCCACGATGCTCGCCCAGACCATAGTTTGCATCGCGCAACTTGGCGCGGGGCGCGGCAGGAAAAATGTAAAGCATCATGAATTATATATTATAGTATATTATAGTCATATATAGAGGTACATAAAAATGCTGAGACGATCTAACATGCACCCTAGCTGCCCCAAAGGTTATGCCTTGAACTCCAGGATGGTTCGTTCATCTCCTCGATGCATGTTTTGATTCCCTCAGATCGTTGCTCACACCAGAATTGCGTGTGCATACCCTATGAAAATCAACTGTACCATCAAAAAGTTCATATCAGAATACATCTTGGACGAGGAACGCAAGTCTTTGGGCATCCAGATGGAAGCTCTGCTGGATCCGGGTCCGCTTTGTTTTTTTAGGCGCCATCGCCCCAAGCAGCTGAAATATGCAAGTCAAAGTGCTTTGTTTCAATCTTGTTGTGTTTTCTTGTCTGTATTTTGCCTCTCTCTTTGTGCACATGCTTTCTGACCAGTATAATTTTTGGGTCTCTCTCTGTTTTCTTTCTTGTAGTATTTTCAAGGAATTCTTACAACCAAGAAATCTGGTACTCACCGGCGCGCGCGATGCTCATCTCAATTCTGCAACACACACTGAAAAAACACGTTTTCCTCTATAAAATGAGGGCCTAACGTCCCCAGGGGGGGGGGTCATAAAACGTTTTATGAAACGCCTTGACCCTGGCCATTTTATAGAGGATATTGTCTAGGCCATCTTCAAAGCTATGTAGGAAGGTCCCTGGGTAACGTAAGGTCCATGAATGAAGAACCTTGAACATGTGCTGCCAGGGCTGACTATGCAAAGCCGAGCTGCAAATGGCGGCTTTTGGAAAAATTGCTATTTTGGGGCGCTGGTCGTAGAAGAAGTTCTCAAGAATGCTGACCATCTCTCTTGTCTTTCCAGATCCAGTCGGGTGATCCACCAGCAATCGTTGGACAGGGCTTGCAGGGTGCACGAGGAAACGAACGATTTCCTGACAAGACCCCAACACAATAGAATCACCCCTTCATGTCAGCATGCTTGAGTGTCAGATTTTACCTCCACCACCAATGCTTCCGGATCTTCTGACATGTTGATGTTTTGTCAAATCGTGAATTGACAAGTGAATAGTTAGCAGCTAGCACACACCACCCTTATAAGCAGGTGCATGCTGCTCAAACGCTGGACGGCTCCTGGTGCGGTTGCAACGGTCTTGAGTCGCTCTTCTGACTTGGCGGTTGGCCAAGACCCGCTCGCCGCAGGACCTGGGCATAAAGCTGTCCCGTGGACTGCGCTTCGATAAAAGCAGGTTCGCTTGATGATTGGATGATGTTCTAAGTGCATGTCTATGAAAGGCGTAACAGAGAAAAAAAAAACAAACACAATGATGCAACTGACAGGATGGCAATGTCTTGGCCAAGGATTATGTAACAATGTAGGTAGCAGCAACACACACATATATATATTATTCACACCTACAGTATGCGTATCTTCTGTAGCAGCACACAAGCAATGGTTGATGCTAGTGAGCGTTTGATCTCCTGTTTGTATCTTTGGTGTTTGTCATGCGTAGGCAAGTTATTCTCTGGTTTACCCAAGAGCACCGGTTGTCTAGACTGCTCATGCAAGTTGCGCAGATGCGCAGAACCACAATTACAGGATCTGTGGGGACACGGGAAACGACGTGAGAACTAGGTGTCAAAAACATTGAATACAATTCAAACAATGCACTGACAGGGACTTGATCACTGAGCTGCATTGGTTGCTCGCCTGTTGAAGCCGGGGGTTCCTGAAGCGATGCACCATTCCCAAGGCTCACACTCTCAATCCAATATTTTATCCGCTTGAAGACACATGGCATTTTAGTATTAACGTTATTCAATGCATTTCAATTGAACTTCTGAGTTCAAGTTCTACTGGTTGATGCTGGTTGATCAAACACCTCGCCTGGGAGCACATGAGAGCTTTCTGTCTCCCAGAGGTGTGATGGATACCACTCAGTCTTGAGCTCCTCGGTTGTGGCCTCCACACCTGGTAGCACCAAGTGGTCGAAGCCAAAGCATACTTCACGGCAGAACTGCACGTTACCAAAAAAGTGGTTCGAGCATACTTGAGTCCCCAGTGAGTCCTCAGAGCCTTCGGGTTCAAGCTCCAAATGAAGCCACGTGGCCCAAATCTGCAAGTTGTGGTGTGACCTGCAGCTGTGGTTCCTTCTCTGGTGCCTCTTCACCAGAAAGCTCAGAGTCAGAGAAATCTCTCCCTCCCTCCAGACCTGACAGAGCCAATGGTTGAAGTTTTCCCAAAAGAATCCATGGCCAACCGCCATCGATATGTGACCAATGAATTGCTTTGTTGATCCAAAGTCTCAATCAAATCGGAAAGAATGCTCCGACCTTCCTCAGAACTATCATCTGATGCCCTCCGCCGATGTACAGACCGTCGCTGTGCTAGTGTGGACAAACAGCTCTCCTCACCTCAGAGTGTTAACAACATCCATCAACAAGCAGCCACGAAGGAGCCAAAAGCATGGCGCAAGTGAGCCAACAAGCACAAATCCTGGCAACCTGCGAGATTTATGTATGAATGGACAACGATGAAAAACGCTATGATTCGTCGATGGAACTTGACTTGCCAATTTTCAATGGCAGTTGAAGAGCGCCGTCTGAGTCCTTCGAGAGGAAAATGCAGGATGACTCCCACAGGTCGAGGCCAAAAATGGAAATGAAGTCAACCGGTTCACTTTGATGTTGACACCTGATTGGGGAACCCCACTGTGAACCCCCTGTTTACAGTATTATTAGTTTGGCATTTGCTCCTGCAATGCTAGCCGCCTTTCAAACATCCTGCTGGCCAATTGGGTGCCCAGAAACTTCAGCCAAGTGTTTCTCATTGGCAAGTCTTTGTTGACAAGTAGTTAGTTGGATAAAACCTAACTATGGGCCGTCGGTCATTGCATCCTTAATTAACAATATACTATAATATACTATATATATGTAGATGTGTACATACATGCACGCATATAAATGTAATTATATAACTATTTGTCTAACTCAATGCTCCCATGTCTTCTCAAACCCTATCTAAGACACCTTTTGCTCTTGCTGGCTCATCGTTTGCTCATGCCTGTGGCAGTTTTCTCCCCCAGGTGACATTCATTCAACTGCCTCTTTGCATTTCCCTTCTTACCCACAAAAAAAAGAAGAAACATCTGGAACTCCAGCCGGATGCAACTTTTACCAAACTTGACAGCGTAATAAATTGGCAGGACATAGGAATCAGCATAATTTGCAACTTGTCATTGCATAACTTGAGTATATTGTTTACAACAAAAGTTTCAGTTTCATGTCTTGAAAACGCACCTTCAGTTGTTCCCACAAAATCATCCAGAATTCCCAAAAGCACCCAAAACACACACACATATATGTATATATCAAATTATTATATCATATGTCTCTCTCTATATATATTATATATCTCAAATTGTTTATCAAACTCGCAAAGGGGGTTCTCCCAGAAACCCTCTATTCATAACCACTCTCCAATTAATTTGGTGTCCTTCCTTCCTTCCTTCCTTCCTCCCTCCCTCTTCCTTATTGTTTCTGATTAAATCTTCAACTTCATAGGTCCTTTCATTCATGTGTTTATGCTTCTTTGGAATCGTCTCATGAAGACCTTTAGTCTTTGGGATCTCTCCTGATGAAGAGGTTTAGTCTTCGGGACAGCTCCCTTATGAGAACCCCGCCAAATATAGATATTGTTGCAAACCAGAACCATTACAGTAATGATGAGTCCACATTATGGTGCATTGCTTTCTCTCCTTCTGACTCCTTATCTTGTTTTTTTCTCTCTCTCTCTCTCTCTCGCTCGACCTCTATGAATAGTGACTAATTAATTAGTGATAATTAGTGGCTAGTGTACCTTCCCTAACGAAATTGCTGTGTGACTACGTGCCATTGGAAAATGCAGGGGAGAACGGCTCAATGGCAAGAGCTTTTACATGTACCGCTTGCAGCCGTGGCACTTGTGCTAATATCATCCAAAGAAAATCGTTGCTCTCCTTGACGCACAGCATCTCGGAGCAACCGGAAGAATGTCCTCGCACAATCTGTAGAAATGGTCCCCTCTGATACAACTGCTACATTAATTCTGCACTGCCTGCCCCGGATTCTAAGACCTTCCTGTTTATGTTTGCTGTCTCTTAAGGATCTGCACATTTCGCATGGATTTCCAACTCAACCCCCGACTGCCACGAGCTGAGTTTCAAAGCCGTGCGTGCATCAAGGCACTTCTTGAGCGCAAAAGATGTCATAAAGTCAGTGACATCTCCTGTGACATAAAGCAGCTTCCAAACTGGACTCTGAGGGACGGCGCTCTTCGTCAAAGCTGTCTCTCTCTCTCTCTCTCTCTCCCTCCATCGCCATCTGCAAAGTTCAGCTAGGCTGTATGAACAACAATTTTTGGGGCTGCCTGAAGTAAAAGTCCCAAAAGTGTATCAAAACAGCTCCCACGAGGCTCTACAGGGATGGGGATCATCGTAGCACAGGGCACAGGGCACGCCAGTTTTCTCTCGAATGATTTGATTCCAGCATTGTTACACATGACAAAGTGATCAATGCAACATATGAATATATATATATGTAGCTTATGATTGCTCTCGAGCAACTTGTCTATCCTGCCCTTCACCTGCATGTCCACCAAAAAATGTGAGGGGGAATGCTGCCTTCATGCCGGAACATCCGGTCAAACTACTGACACGAAACATCTGAATTCAAACTTGGCCTCTGCATTCTGCCAAGCGAATGGCCAGCTCCAAACGAAGGCGTTTGGCAAGGGTGATCTCAGAACTGCTACGCTGAGCCCACAGTGGCACATGCCTCAGATGCTGGAGCTCGAGATGCTCGCGGTCTCGAAATGGCCTTTGGAAACGAGAGCCGGGTGGGGCATGCAGTCAGTCGGAAGGACATATCCAAGGCCCTTTGTGCTTTTCACTTTTGCCACTACACATTCCAAGCAGCATCATGTCTTTAGCATCATCTCATGTCTTTAAACATCGATGCAAACGAGTCAGGGGGAACCAAATCTCCCTGGATATAAATCTCGACTGTGACATTGGTTGGGTACCACATGGTACCACCAATAAGGGGTGCTGGTCTTGGCCTCAAGACCTTGTGATCTTACTTTGCATTGTCTTCAACATTGCTCATGCTGCCATCAGTTCTGCTCACACTTACATGTCACTGATTATATATGCGTTGAAAGTGCGGGCAGCATGTTGGGCAGCAAAACAAAAGGACAAGCAGTCCGTTTTACGCGTGCGGGAGTCAAGCTTCGAACGAGCTCACCAAAGCAAAAAAACTCAGAAGGGAAGAATCAACAAGGGTTTTCACGAATCAGGATACCATTGCAAAAAGATAGGAACATCCTGTGTAAGATGGACTGGACGGAGGCCGTGGGCAGTTGGCCGAAGAGTTGTTTGATGAGGCCGGGCCTTTGCGGAGTTCGAGTAATGCCGTGCTATACCACTTGACCTGAGTAGCACAACCTGCCGCAAGCTTCCGCAAGGAGTGTCTTTGAAAGCTTTCGTTTCTGGATTCATAGGGGTGATTCTAAAGGTGAACCACCAAGTCCTGAGAATGGACTTTTATTGTACACGGCTGACCCATTTGTGTTAACATGTGCAACAGTAGTCTACCCTTTTTCACATGGGCAACGATTCCAACGTGCAGTGTTAAACGCAGGCACTCATCAAAACTATATGAGTAGAGCAGCCAAATGATATGACATGAATATGATCCCTAAGCTCCTTGAGCCTTAGGTCCTTTCGTATGTTCTTCCATATCTACTCCACTTCAGTTGCTGAAGTTGCCAGTTCTGGCGCATTCTGATTTTACATGATTTTACTTGGCGTGCGTGCGTGCGTGCGTGCGTGCGTGGGTGCGTGCGTGCGTGGGTGGGTGG